GTGTGTGTGTGTGTGTGTGTGTGTGTGTGTGTGAGACAGAGACAGAACAAAGTAAGATCTTCCTGTCATTTTTTCCACTTCGACAAAAGTGTTTCACACATGGGTTCAAAGCCACTGTGTTACTTTATATTACATTACTTTTCCTTTATTTGTTTTTTTTTACATTGCTGATGTTTTAAATAATTGGTTTTAAGGTGTATCCAGTCCTGTGTTTTATACTGCAGATATCTACAGTTTAATGCAACTTACCACCAGTCAGATATACCCATAATAGATGGTCGTGTACTTTTTGTCTTTTGACTACATTTTTTTTCTAGTAAATTGCTTAAAAAGTTATGGACAAATATCAGGTTATGTCAGTTTCAGTAGTTTCAACCTCTCAAAGAGAACAGAAAACTAATCTTTAGCCCATTTTCCAATTAGTACCTCCTCGGCACGGCTCGCCACGGTTTGCCATTTTTAAAAACGGGGAAATTGCTACAAAAAACCACACAGAGGTCTCCAAGTCTGACAAAAAGCCACAGACCGAGCAGCAGGTATATTCTTGCCTCGACGCCCACATTTATTGCTTTGTTCATGTGGGATGCTCACATATGTTGCTATGACAATGACCACGGACATAAGGTGGTTCTAAATTGTTATGTCGTGGCAAGCTGTGTCTAGTTGGTGTGAATAGGTACTAATGGAAAAGGGGCGTTTGTCCTTTCAAAAGTTAGTGTTATCTTCCTATAATTTGGTTGATTCTGTTCATCTGTATGTAGCATTTTCCAGATGAACCGAATCAACTTTTTGGGATGGATGACTGATCATGCATAAAGATATATTCCATTTAATTCTCAGTTTGTATCTTTTTTAGTTCATAAGGTCATTTTATTATCTGAAAGTTTCTTGGTCAGATCCCTCACAACATCTTCTAGTTAACGCTAACTTGTAAAAGTACTCTTCTAAAAACCTCCCCTGCAGAAAGAAGCAAAGCTTTGGTCAAAGGCGGAGCTGGAGGATTCCGTCACTCACCCACTGAACTACAGAAGAAAACTCTACGCTGCATGAGTAGAGCTAAGTTTCCCATCAGGATATCACAGTAGATACTGAGACAAGAGTGGGTAGGTAAGAGCAATTCAATGTGTAATTCAATGTCTAATAGTTAGGGTTTTATAAATACAGTCATTTACTATTCCTTAAGTAACTAGTGAAAGGTTTCTCATTGTTTTTAAATGCAAATTTTTAAAGTAAAGTCAAGGAGACTGTCTTTGATTTCATTCATAACTTATTGGAAAGGATTTGCATGTGCAGAGTATTTTCATGTACTTTCTTTAAGATTAAGTACTTACCGTTTTAGTTGATTCTTCTATTTTAATGTGTGTTTTGTTGACTTGTTTATGTAAAAGTCACTCTTCAGCTGAAAGGTTAAAATGTTTCTCTTCTACAAGATTATCATCAGTTCTAAGAACACCAGCCAAAGAGATTTTCTGTGACGAAATGATGTTTCTGGCTTTAATTAGTACAGCCTGTATTAGTAATGTCATCTATTCTTTACAGGCTATGCTAATCTATGCCAGAATCACCAATGCGATGGATGGTGAGGCTATAATACTGTTCAAAGATTTCTCAGTGTTTGTCAGCTTTTGTGGAAATGCAGTGCTGTCTTGCGTATTTAATACTAAGGACAATCAAAATGTATCTAGAGAAGGTTTGCTCTAATTTTATAGTCAACATATACAAGGTGACTCGCAGTTTGTATGCAGCAAAAAGTGTCAAAATCTAAAAAGGATGCCAGGAATGCTTTGGAAGAGAGGGGTTGTTTTTTCATGTAATTTGGGTTGCGAAAAGCAACAGGATTTAAACGTAAATGTATAGTAAATGTGAATACATACATTTAATATGTCACTTGTTCTTTTCACGTTCAACTGAGTATCGAAAATAAGTAAACAACTCTGTTTTCACAGTTTTTTAAAACTGTGTTATAGAAAAGATGAAATAAGAACTGATGTTACAAACCACCAACCCTCCACACTGTGTTTGCTCACGTAAACAGCAGCTTCGTTTAGTTGGCTTTCAGTGTGGCCGTGTTTGATGCCATTTAATAGTTTATGGATTAGGTCAACCATTGTATGTCGGACGTGTAGCACTAAAATTCAATGTGATGTTTAACTATTTGAACAGGAGAACGTATGTAGGTATTGCACACTGATCCTGTGCAAGATTACACTCTGACTTTACATTACAGTGTCCTGTTGATAAAATAAGTTCAGGTTTCAGTGAGGCAGGTTAAGAGGATGCTGTGGCAGACAGACAGAGGTCAAACATGATGAAGGATCTTACCTGGTAAGCTGGGGAGTTTGAATTTGTTCTTCTATTAAGAGAACTGTTTTACTGTTTTACTGGGCTCTTGTTGGATTGGTAGCAGGTTCTACATGTCTGCAGTCACTCAGTGAACAAAGGATGGCTGACTATGTTTTTCATACATAAAGAAGCATGTTTAAATTTATACCTCTTATACATCTACTAAGAAGTACTTCGTTAGCTTCATAGCATAAGTGCCTAAGTCATTTTTTTGTGATGACATAGGCAGACGGACAGGATGATGCAGCAGTGGTAGGGGAGTAAAGTTAGGCAAAAATCTCAATTTGACCAAAAAATGACTTAGGCACTTATGCTATGAAGCTAACGACTTGCCGCTGTTCCCTGTGCAATATTTTGGGAGATGTGCAATTACCATCCCTATCCTTAATCACCATAGCCATTCTACCCTTATTTATTATATCCTATTATGATGCCCATGTACAAACTCCCACAGTGTGGGAGTTTATTGTATATTGTTTTCTTTACTTCTACACCTTTGTAGTCTTGCTACCTAATTTTGCTGTGCATTCAACTGTACAATGACAATAAAAACGTTTTAAGTTCTAAGGCAATTCACTTGTCTCACAACAGCCTTGACTGAATTTATGCTGTCCTCATTACAAGTTTTTGACTGTAATGTATTTTCAACTACATAGCTAACTTGTTATATCCTTTATCAATGCATCCTCTAAGGCACAGATGGTTTGTTGTATTTGGTAGGGTTTAATTGTGAAAAATATGCAAATATTTGTAAAACATAAAAGAAAGCAAATTGTATGTGTATTATTACAGAAGTAAAATAACAATAACTGTAACATATGAGCAGCCTAGAGAAACAGTACTGTACAGACACATTTAATTTGTCTGCAAATAACCATGATCACAGATACAGTACTCAGTCCCAAAAGATAGTCAAAAAGCTAGCAGCTTAGAAATGAAGCCATATTAAGCAAGGATTAAAAGGATTATTGCACTGTGATGCTCGGTCTATGAACCACTGAGCAAAAAGGAAGCTCCTTAGTGACCCCCATGTGTAACCACAGTGATTATTACAGGCTCACATCCTTTGCAATACTGCTATTTACAATGACCACAAGATGGTGCCAAAGGCAGTACCAAAGAAAGAAAAGCTATGGTTCCAATACAGGAATTTCTTTTAGGAAGCTCTTTTCACAGTTTCACACTGGGCTTCTCCGGTCCGCACATTAAAGCAGACTTGAGCAAGAAACTGAACTCTTAATGTATCCATGTGTATGTGTGATTGGGAAAATGCCTTACACATATGCTGTGCATATAGAATAAACAGTTGTGATTGTGTGTAAACTAGTGAATGACTTTTAGCAAAACTGCTTTTAGATTTAAGTAGGAGTAGAAAAACGTTGTGCAAGAGCCAATCAAAGCAGCCACCGCTCTAAGTTTATACCTTACTAGTATCTAAATGGATGAGTTATTAAAAAGAATCTGACCATTATAAAGTCCTTATGAAGAGAGAAACTATCCAAAATAACCAGTTTGTAAAGATATTTGTAATGCTTATGACCTTTAGATAATTATTTACTTTGTTACTTTGTACCTCCTTACATGATGTTCGGTGTGACTTAAGGAATTGGGAACAACCAAGTAACCTCGTAACCTCTAAGGCTGAAAAATGAAGCCAACATGAAAGTGCCAATAACACTGGTACCTCTAAAGGTAAATTGAGGGTGATTCCAAAACTGAGGTAATCACAATAGGGCAATCAATTACTTTTCAGACTTTTCTGTGTGATTGACATGTAGCTATTTCCAAACTGCTTGCTAGGACTCACTCTGTAGGTGGGTGGATCGATCTAAACATTGACAATATCGATACCAATGATGGTAATGGTATCAGACTGATATCAGCGCGATTGATATATACTCTTCCCTAAGCTGACTTTATAAGCTGATATGAAATGTTTGTATCTGTATTGGTATAGGCAATACCATCTTTGTATTTATTTGGTATCAGCATCAGAATGTGTAGTATGGCACACCACTACTCATCTCAGTCAACTGGAGTCACTGAACTGGACCTCTCAGTTTGGTTTGTGATATTTGGAGCAATCTAATTGATTTGAGAAATATTGTGGCTTGCTATGAGGTACCAACAGTCCAAGACATTTATGTGCTTTGGTGAGTGAATGCTAGTAATTTATTAGTCTGTGACTTTGCACCAGTGATCAGGTGTATCAGTAAATCATATGATTGCACCTTGCTAATGCTGACAAGCTGGACTGGATAGTCTGGATAAAGTAACATGTCTTGGCTGACTGAAATGGTACCTCATTGTCATTTGTAAAAGTATCAGCTGAATTCCTTAATCGTTCATTTTTATGTATTAAAATGATTTATTCTGTTTTTTCTTTCAGATGTGTCATGGTCACAATGAACCTGACCTCCAGCTCTGATCCTGTCTACTTCCTTACCAGCAGATTTCCTGGTATGAGAGACCAGCCAGATACCATCATCAAAGCTGACTCTGCTATCTTAGGTACTATGCACAACTGTAAAGCTGTGTAAATTATATGTGTACATGTTAAATGATATTCTATCTGAAAGAACACGTGCAGGGAATAGGAAATTAAAGAAAACAAAAGAATTTAAGATTATGCCTATATTCCTGCAGGACAATGCGTGGAGGAAAAAGAAGACATACGAAGGACAGTCAAAGAACTAAAAAAGCAAAAAATACCAAAATGTAACAGAAAGCCACTTGACTTTAGGCTGGTGACAGAGAGATAATAATGTAAGGCTGCGAAAAGAATTGTGGCAATCTGAAATGGAAATATGATTTGTAGGCACAATAATTTCAAATCATTGCTTTGTTTTTTCCAAATTAGGTTATTTTATTAGTTGAGAAAATTGATTCACAATAATAATATTCTCCACATTTTCAGGTGGCTCCTACCAGAGTATGGGCAATTCAGCAGATAACAGAACATTAATGCTGCCTCCAGATGAGTTTAATCCATTAGGAGGGCATACAATCTGGCAGGTAACTGTTGTGGCAACAGTTCTACTTTTAACTTTGATCTTATTAGATCTGTTTTAGGGCTTCACTGTATAAATTCCATTGCTTCAGTACCAAGCCATGGAACTCTAACTACCACCAAAAATTCAGCTCATGGGTCTAGGGGCTTGATGGCTCCTGTGAAAGTTTTGCGTACAGTAGATATTCCGGGGCAAACTTTACAAGTATGGTTACATTTTTGTTTTGTTCAGATTGAGATATTATTGCCAAACAAAACTGTTCCACATGTAATATAATGTTAAACTGACAGTGATGCAGGATGACATCTGCAGTGAAAGCACGTCATTTGAACCATTGCTTGACAAGTGAATAGTTTTCTGTATGTTCCTCATTTATCCTAAAGGTGTTATAGGTTTGGAGGAACTATATAGAGTAATAGGTCATTTACTGCACAATGGCTGTTGAGTTTAAGGAAGCAGTTCGTTTTTGATTTTTGCCTACGTCTTCACCTTCAGGTCATCATAATTGTCCTCCTCACTGGATCACTTTCTCTTGTCACTATTGTTGGCAACATCCTAGTGTTGGTGTCGTTCAAGGTAAATAAGGCACTGAAGACAGTGAACAATTACTATCTTCTGAGCCTAGCCTTTGCTGACCTGACCATTGGAACGCTGTCTATGAATCTGTATACCACCTACATCATCATGGACCAGTGGGCCCTGGGACCAGTTGTTTGTGACCTGTGGCTTGCGATAGACTATGTGGCCAGTAATGCCTCTGTCATGAATCTGCTAGTCATCAGCTTTGACAGGTAAGTTGAATTTAAAAAAAAAAATTCAGTAAAGTAAATCTATCTACCAGGGGTGCAACGATACTCGTATCGATATTGAACTGTTCGGGTGCTTTCGGTTCGGTACGCATATGTGTCGAACAATACAACATTTTTAATTTATTTTATCAACTTTCCTTCTGACGGTGCTGTCTGTGTTGAGCGCTCAGTGGATCTGCGCTCGACAGTGCAGCCTAGGCGGAGTAGTCAAACGCAGATTCACTGAGCGCAGGGCAAGCTAGCGAGACAGAAGCTAAGCTCTCCTTGCAACATGGCAAATTGAACCTCCCCCACCCTCATTCAGATGTGCCGTTTGGAACTATTTTGGTTTTCATGTGATGTATGACCCTGAAGGTAAGCGCATCATGGACAAAAGTGAAACAATGTGTCGGATGTGCCACGCAATGCTCAATTACATGGGTGGGAGCTAGTTTGTTAGCACAGTTAGCTCGTTAACGTGTTGGCCGTCCAGCCCCAGGCACGGGGCGATCCGCGGTAACTCGTTAACGGAGATTTGCTGTGTTGTGGCGTTAACGTCATTTCAGATTAAGGCTGACAGCACTAGTGGGAACACAACGAATATGACTGCACATTTACTCCGACATCATCCTAGTGCAAAGACAAAAACAACAAGCAGCATGGCTACAAACTTTAGCCGAGTCATTTAGACAGCTGTTAGCACATGATTGACCTGATATGTTTAATATGCTGCTGAGAATATAGCCCAGAAGAAGCGTATAGTATAGCTTTTATTTTGGAAAGAGACATTTCTCTGTAATAAACTCTTTTCCAAAGATGAGTGATTTCTCCATCAGATAGATTTATTTTTTTTATCCCTTTGTTGTTTCAGGAACATTAAATTTAAAAACTGTACTTTTGAGTTAAAATATATATTTTTAATTTAATAAATGACAAATTAAAAAGGCATGAACAATTTTTTTTGTATTGAAAAAATATCGAACCGTGACACCAAAGTATCGAACCGAACCGTGAATTTTGTGTATCGTTGCACCCCTACTATCTACGGTCATGTATTTTGATGTATAAATTTTAATGATTTAAAAATAAATACATAAAACATGTATTGGAATCGCAAACATTTCCATGCTTTATGATTGAAATGTATCCATAGCCATGACAAAGCTTTCATGAGCGTCATGGGTTTGAAAATATCTAATTCTTTTGACTCTGAACAGCTTCAAATAGTTGCCTGCCTTCTTTTTGTATCCTCTTAGGTATTTTTCTGTGACCAGACCACTGACTTACCGGGCCAAGCGAACAACCAAGCGGGCCATGACCATGATTGGATTAGCCTGGTCTATCTCTTTTATTCTGTGGGCCCCAGCCATTCTGTTCTGGCAGTACATCGTGGGTGAGCGGACAGTACAGCCAAACGAGTGCTACATTCAGTTCTTGTCTGAGCCTATAATTACATTTTGTACAGCTATTGCTGCCTTCTACTTGCCAGTAACTATTATGGCAATCCTGTTCTGGAAGATCTATCAGGAGACAGAGAAGCGAGCTAAAGATGTACAGGGTCTCAAGGGATCTGGGTCAGGGAACAACCCAAATCAAGCTCCACATGAAAGGGGTAGTAGTGGAAAAAAAGGTGGAGAAAGTACACCCAACAACCAGAATATCTCAGCAGCTATGCTGCACCAGGTGAGGTCCCAAAACTACAGCAGCTATGGACTAAATCATTTGTCTTCTGAGAAGAACAACGCAAGCCTACCAGGGGGCGTAGAAAGTAGAGGGAAATGCAACATGTTCTGCTTTGAGATTTCATCTCTTCTGCCAGTTCACCATGCATCCAAGAGATTAAATGCCACATCACCACCAGCAGAACAGAGTAGCTGTGACAGCTTTAACAATAACGAGGCCTGGGATTCAGAAGACCAGTCAGGTTCAGAGGCAGAAGTCGATGCAAGATCTTCAAAAGGTTGGACATAGACCTATTTAGTGGTCTTTGTTTTCATAATATATTAATAAATACCCTACTACATGATGTTTAATGTTCATTACATGTCCCTTTTGATGTTTAATATATCTATATAGATGGTAAGAAGTCTAGAAAGGGGAAGGAAAACAAGGAAAAATATCCCCTGTCTACAAACATAAGTCCAAGAGGATCAAATGCAGCAACCTCCTGTTCTGCTGACCTGTCACCTACAGCTATCACCATGAAAGACGCTGCAGTGGCCAAACGCTTTGCCTCCAAGGCCAAGACGGAGATCAGCAAGCGCAAGAACGAAAAAAAGGCAAATGAGAAAAAAGCTGCAAGGACACTTAGCGCCATTCTGTTTGCCTTCATTACAACATGGTTACCATATAATATCATGGTTTTGGTCAATACTTTTTGTCAGGACTGTATCCCTGAAACTCTCTGGGCTCTGGGCTACTGGTTGTGTTATGTTAACAGCACAGTCAACCCCATGTGCTATGCCTTATGCAACAAGACCTTCAGGACAACCTTTAGAGATATTTTAATGTGTCAGTGGAATCAAAGAAAGAACAAGCCTCATTTTTATCAGAGACAGGCTGTGGCATTCCATAAGAAAGACCCCATGTAGAGTGTGGATCTTTGTTTAAAGCTGCACTTTCTAATCCACAATCAGAGTTGGATGCCTTAACTTTAATGGAAACATAATTAATTGAAATTCACCCTCACAAATATTTTTGTGTTCTATTAATTTATTTGTGTAGTTATTATTGTAGGGTTTTTACATTACAATAAAAAGCCCCTTGAGGCAACTGTTGCTGTGATTTGGTGCTATATATAAATACAGTTAATTTGAATGTTATTGTATTCTTGCTTTTTTACCAAGCTACTGTAGTAGAAAAACCTATCGTCCAAAATATTGTATCTTCATTGCTTCATTTGGAATGGATAATTATCTTCCACAGATACTCCAAATAATCACGTTTCATGTATTTAGCGTCATATCCATAAAAAAAACTGGTCACCAGATATTACATAGTAATACAGATGAATCACTAGAATATATCACCTTCAGTGTTTTTGGTGGGTGTATCTTTACATTGCCCACATGTCCAAATAACTCATGGATTAAACAGTTTCTCCACCTTGAGGCCAAATAATCAGTTTCAGTGAAAAAACAACTCTCAGTTTAACTTAAAAAAAATAAAATAAAAATAAAATCTTCAGAAACTTGAATATTTGCAGAGTTTGAGCCCATAAAATGACTTTGTGTAAAATCTCTGACCTTCACTTTCGCACTTACTTTATGACACACTGTACTGGTCTTAATAACTACGATGTTCAAGTAGATTAATTTTAGTTTCATTTATGAAATGACAATCTTGAAGGATTTATAATTTCCTGGATTCAATTCAAATAATAATGTGTAATAATACAGAATGATACAGGGAATAAGTATTGAGCATGCTTACTGAAATTTATATAATACTTAGTACAACTAGCTGCTTGCATTGCTTGGGTGTGATCTTTGATCCATTTTTTCACGCAAACTGTCTTCAAATCTTAAAGGTTTCAGAGTGTGAACTTGGATTTTTAGTTCTTTCCAAAGATTTATAAATGGATTCAAGGCGGGGCCATTTCACAAGATGCATTTTCTTTCTCCAATTGAGAATTTTCTTTCTGTGTGTTTGGGAATTGTCTTGCATTGTCTACCCTTGTTTTACATGGTGCATCATGGCTGATGGCAACAGGTCAGGGATGTCTTGGTACATCACTCCATTTATCCTCCCTTTAGTTATATGAAGTCTGCCAAGTTTGAGCATGACCACATGCTACAAAAAACAATCCCCAACATAGTGTTTCCACCTCCAAACTTGGTTGGTATGGTGTTTTTGAGGTGCCATTTCTCCTCCTCCTCCACAATGTGTGCAGTGAGATCAAGAGAGTTTAATTTTGGTCTCATTTGACAAGACTATGTTCACCCAGTAGATCATTGGCTTGTCTAAATGTTTTGCAGAAAACTTTAAGTGACCCGCAAATTTATTTATCAGCAATTTATTTATTGGAGTGGGCTGAAAAATCCTTCAGTAGTCCTCAAGGATTTGTTATTTGTAAGGTTACAGTAACCTTTAAGAACACTGTAAATGTTACAAAAATAAACAGGTTTTTACCACTACTATTTCACAAAGGCTTAAAAAAGAAATGTCCACAATTTAGACTATTTTAATGTGGGATATTTTATTAAAGCAATTTAGCAGAAGCAAAGCAAAAGCACAACCAAAAAATAATGATCACATAATCAAATCATATTTAATTATACTTTTCCAATTAATCTAACCTGAGTTAATGCTCATTTCTAATACTAATCTGGAAAGGAGAGCTGTTGAAGAGAGAATGGGTTTGCATTGGCTAGAAATGGGAATTGATAAGAATAAAGCACTTCAATGCGAGTAAAGATTCCAAGGAATCGGACTCCTGGGAACCTCGATACCCATCCCTAGCCTTGGCCATGATGCCCTTATCTCTCATCCATTTTAATATCATCTAATAGGAAAGTAGCTCCCTTTGGAAATTCAGTCCCCTGGGAATAAGGTAAAAATCCAGATCTTCTTGAAGTTATAATCCACAGGACCACAGTAGACATCCTTGAAAGTTGTAATCCAGAAGAAAAAAAAAGGAAATTCAAGTCTTCTTGAATTTATAACCTAAAATGTACAAAAAATCTAAAACCAATTTTTGGGTCCACCGATGAACCTTGAAATACAATGTTTTGCTCATCCCCAGAAGACCGAGAAGAACAACCTCAAATGTTCCTACAAGCCTTCTTTTTATAAAGGCAAGGCAAGTTTTTTTGTATAGCACAATTCAATGGATGGGGCCTTCAGCTGTAAAGCCACATATTCAAAAGCCTGAAAACTTCCAGGAGATAGCTGCTTACATTGAAATGATTCATTAATAAGACAGCAACCCCTCCTCCTCTCCTGCTCACCCTGGCCTCACTGATAAAACTGTAGTTAGGAGGGGTTGTCTCGATGAGAACAGCTCCATTGTTACTTTGGTCCAACCAAGTTTCAGTTAAAAACATAAAATCAAGGCTGTGCTCAGTGATTAAATCATTAATTAAAAATGTTTTCCCAGCTA